TTTTTTTTTTTTTTTTTTAAATGGTTTTGCTGGCATTCACCATTGTTTGCCATTGTCTTTGGAAGTTTCCATATTATCGAGGTTAAAACACTGTCTTATTTCATCTGAACTGCAAAAAAAATTTCCATATTATTAACGCTGAACAAAGTGGTTGTCCTGCTGTTTGGCTAAGTGACACTTATTAACTGTGTTTATGCCAGTGGTTTAGGTGATCTTTTTAGTCATATATACGTACTCCGATGGTCAGGAAAAAGAAATTTCGAAATGAGTTTCATGGAGTTGTTGATGGGCCTGCAATTAAAAAAGCGATGAAAAGTGGTAATGCCGAAGAACATAAATTAGTGGGAGAAGTAACTGATGAATCTAACGATACCAATAAGATTGTGAGGTACTATCGATTACTTAATTTTTCACATTTTTGCTGCCCATGTTTCCGTTTTCACTGATTTATTTAGTAATATTTTTTATATATGTGTTCTATCGGATCTTCCCTTTGGATTTGTTAGATTAATTTTATTGGTCATAAAATTTATATTTGTTTTCTTCTTTTGGTTATTTTTCTGACATAATTTATTACTTTAAGGACAGGATTTTCCAAGCGTTTAGGTTTTTAGTCGTTTTGCATATCATTTTTTCTTGCAGTGAAACATGCTTGAAGCTAGCTACTTGCTCTCGTTTACTCATATTTAATTCTCTTTAATTTTTAGAAAGAAGAGGAAGCTGCATACCTATGAAAGAGCAAGGCTAGCATATGAAAAAATTCAAGCCGAGCGTCGTCAAGAAGCTGAAAAACGACGTGCAGAGCGGGAGAAACGTCAGAAGGCATTAGAGCGTTATTTGTCGACTAAGAAGAAGATGGATAAAGCTTTGATGAAAAAAAATAAACGAGGTCAGCCAAATTTAAATGCCCAAGTTGCTGTTTTACTTGAGAAAATTGAGAAGAGGTTTTCCAGTTAACCGTATTCTGCATTGTTTAGACCAAATAAATTGTATTGCAAATTCACAGTTGGTTACCGATATTTATATGTTCCATTCGGAATTATTGAAACTTATCCTGCGTTGTTTCACTTTGTTCTGCTTGATGACACATTCCCAATTAAATAATTCAAAAACATTAATGCCCGGTTTTCGCTTTTGTTCAGATTATGCGGGGGAGCGAAATCAGACTGTGAAAGTGCCAAACGCTAAATAGTTCTTATTTTTGGCATGTTCAGTGGGATTATTTGGAAAGTTTTATCGTAGGCGTGATTATTTATTTGTGTTTGGCTTTACTGGTGAACTTTTACTCTGCTGTTGCTGCTTGACGCAAAAGTCTGTACGTTAATTCAAGCGGTCGCAGCAAGTGCACCGTTTAAATCTTTGTAAAGTTAGTGAGGTGCTCTGTAGCTTAGGATTTTTTTATCCAGTGTTTTTTTTCCAGAAGATGCATGTTGTTGTGACATGTAACCATGTGTTGTTTTTGTATACAGAAGTAACTGTTGATTTTGACCTTGTTAAATTTTCGTGATTGTTAAAGTTCAAATAATTTTTTTTGTTGTGATAATGACGATTACCTGCTGTGTCTCTAGTTGAAAATTCGATGCTGTTTTATTATTGTTTTGTGGAAAATGGGATTTGAAAACAGTAGGTAAATTGGTTTCAGACTATTGAAGCTTCTGTTTTGACTTGTTAACAGAACCATCAACAGCGGTGGTGTGTGGGGAGGAAAAAACATTACAAAGTGCTGGCATTTTGCGATTATTTGTACTAGACGCTGCATTATTAAGGTGCTACCTTTGACTGGTGTTTCTGTTACTTCTGTCTCTACTACTGACCAGGATTTATAGTCTCGCATTCTGTGATTGATTTGATAGAGAAATCCTCTGTTGTAAATGCTTCGATTTTTGCATTATTTAATGAGGAATTTCACTTTGATTTTGAGTAACATAGTATTAGCATTAACAACGAATTTCTCGTCAGAAAAGCAGCTGTAGAGAGTTCTTTCACCATTGGTGGAACTCTGTGAAGTGTGTGAGTAAAACAGGAAATTTTGCAAAAAAAGGATGGTTATTCAGTACTTTCATCAAACTGTGAAGTTTTCGCACATGTGGCTGGATTCTGTTGATAAGCTTAAGCGGAGAGGAAGAGATTTAGGTTTTTGCATCAACAGTAATTTAACCGATGTTTTTAATTGGAGGAGATTTTGTTAACCTGGGAAAGTCAGTGATTGTACGAAAGAGCAGTTTGATCAAAAGATGACTTTTGACGTTTTAAGGATTTTGTGGTGTAATTAACTGATCAAATGCATGAAAAAGCAGGAAAAAAAATAGTGACTTTTTAGTTACTTTTTAGTTTCTCATAATTGATCTGTCTGTCAGCTCAGTTGATGAGGACTGTGGCAGTTATGGATGGTGCTTGTTAAACTTGACAGAGAGTGAAAGACGGTGAAAGGTGTCAATTATTCATTGTCTGTTCGGCAGTACTGTACAACTTTGGTGGTTACAACTATTAAAATTCAATAATTTCCCCGTTACTTGCAGAGGCACACATGGCCACCATATTTTTGCTTTTCATTATACTTTTGATTACAGTGTAAAGGTGGTCAGGGAATAGTAAAGGAAGATCACCTATCCATACTGTGAAGCCATCATTATAATCAACGTAGCCGGAATTGTCGTGTTCGAAGGAAGAGGTCAAAGGTGGATCGAGATGGTATAGCCGTCAAAGTTTCAAGTAGAAACTTTAGTAGAAAAAGAAGTATTTTAGTATTAAGTAGATGAGCACAGTACTATGTAGGCTTTGTTTCATCATGCTAGGTCCAAATGTACCGAATATGATTGAAAAAATTCAACTGTTGGCTGTCTCATTTTAAATTTTGCTTTCCCATTATCAAACATGCATATTGAATGGTTTAAAAGCCTTTATCACGATAAAAATTCAGGCAAACTAAATGGTTCGTTGTAAACAAAAAAGAAAACTTGAAAAGGCTAGAAAAAAATATGTATTTAAAAAAAAGGTGCATTGATTTTAAAGTTGAACAACTAAATTAGAAGGATTTTTAGTCTGTTCTTTTTTCAACAATGCAATTTAAAAAAATATTTTTTTATACAAAACTCAAAAAAATTTGACCACAGGGATGAAGTTCAAACAGACTGATGGAAACTTCCATTAAATCTTTCTGTCAATGAAACGTTGAAGAATATATTTAATTTGTGATACATTTGCTTTAATTAAAATGAAATTTATATTCTGAAACCAGTTAAGTTATCGATTGAGAATCAGACTATTTTTGTAGTATACGGTAGCAAAAAGTAAAAAAAATTTTTCTGAAGAACATTAGACAGCTTGGTAAGTGTTTTGTTGATCAGTCAGTTTTCAAACAGATGGTACCAAAAATAGATATGGGTAATGGTTGAGCAAAATTATTCTATTGTAAATTGTATACTTACACAGTATAAAAATGATCAATTGATGATGCAAATGCAACCAAATCAGACGTTTTAACCGTTTATTAAAAGGAATTTGTCTTGATCGTTAATTACTAAAGACGATACTATTGTTCTTAGGCATTTATATGGGTGGTGAATGATAGATGTGCCTAATGATACAGATGATGTACAGTTTACTGTAGCCAAGGTTACTCTTTTTTTTGTCAATACATGAATATTGGAGTAAATCGCTGTCTTCAGAAAAATAAAAGATGCCAAAGCAAGGCGGAGCCAGTTAGAATAACATATGAATGAAGAATGAGTGATTGGACCAACGCAGTAAAGGTGCGGAAAGGGTATTTTGGTGCCTGCCGAGAAGGACCACTTGGACAGCGATGGCGGTAGCAGCAGCACCAACAGCAGCAGCAACAACCCGTAACATCGGAGCTGCAAAGTTTCTTGAAATTCTTAATGCGATTATTCACTACCGAAAATTGCCAGTTCGTATTCTTCAAACACCTATGTATTTTATATACATATCTATACATAGCGGGGAAAAAAGAGTGCGACAATTTTGTCGTAGCTTCTTCTGTTTTCTTGATGTTTTTCTTGTCGGTCTCATCGAATTTGAATTGTTTTTTTTTTTGGATGATGACTGCAAATCGTTGTTATTCCGCCGTGCCGACTATCACCAGTTTTTCATTCACTTTTCTTCTCTAACTGCTTCTTCTAACATCCCCTCTCCCCTTTCCATCCCCGCACCAATCCAGTTGCCTTTAAACAGCCATTAGATTGCAATTGCTATTGATTATGT